TACAACTATTTGATCAATAGAGCACAAGATGTGTCTGACCAATCAAACACAAGATCTAAATTTTCCAACCAATCAAAATTAAGACCTGAACTGTCTGACCAATCCAAGGGAAAATCGAAATAGTGTTGTTTATCAAAAACAAGATGTAACTGTCTGACCAATCAACATAAAGTGTAACTGTCTGACCAATAATGCACAATATGTAACTGACCAATCAAACACAAGACCTAAACTGTCGGACCAATCAAGAACCAAATGTAATAGACCAAAAAAGCACATAATTTAAATGACCAATCAAACACAAGACCTAAACTGTCGGACCAATCAAGAACAAGATGTAACAGACCAAAAAAGCACATAATTTACCTGATCAATCAAAGTTAAGATCAAAAATATAAAATGTGACAAATTTATGCAACAAAATGGCATCTGTCTAAAGGGAGCACATAATTTAAAAAATTGTAAAAAAAAAAAAAAAAAAAAAAAGAAAGAAAGAGAAAGAAAGAAAGAAAGAAAGAAAGAAAGAAAGAAAGAAAGAAAGAAAGAAAGAAAGAAAGAAAGAAAGAAAGAAAGAAAGAAAGAAAGAAAGAAAGAAAGAAAGAAAGAAAGAAAGAAACATCTTTTACAATATTACAAATATATTATGCCACTCACATTGTGGTACTGACACAGTGATTCAGTAATACATATAAATGAACTCTACAGGCATACAAATGAGCAAGGGAACAAAATTAAGAATACTCTGATATTTAACACAAACAGAACCAAACCTCCTTCAGCACAAGCTACGAATCACAAAACAGGAGGAATAAACAGGTGTGAAAGAATCATTGCCATGGAGTTAACAGAAAGAATGCCTGTATAGTAAAGGTTCATAAAAACATGGTAACAAATAGCAAGAATGATGGGAAAAGAGCAAGATAAAGGCAAAGAGATCAATACCTAGATGGCTTAAATATATAGGTGGGGGGCAAGACAAGACCACAGTTCTGATCCATGATTCTGGTGATCAAGTGAGATGGTGAAATTGGGCAGCTAATCTTATCGGCATATCCCATATGATGATAACAGAAGATATGTAAACCAATCCTTACAAAGTTTCAAGCTGTTTGTACACAATTTTCTAAACAATCAATTGAAATTAAATGCTGCCTTCTCACATTACAGGGACCTGTTTGCGCTCCTGTGTTAATATCCAGCTGCTTGGAGATGAAAGACGGTCTCACACAGATACAACTTTGATATGTCAAATGCTGGCCTGATCTCACACCTGGTTGTACAAGCTACAGACATCTTTTCAGCTCTTTGGGCCAAGAGAAGCACCTATTGACCTGTCAACTTCTCAAATCTATAAGTCCTTGCTTGTTGTTGTTGTGAAGGAATTGTATGCAAATCTCTCAAAGACATGAGCCATCCAGATGTCTGCTTGCAGCTAAAGCCGTCAAACAAGAACTGAACAAGAAACGACATCGACTTGGCAATACATGACCAAGCCACACACGGAGGCTATCATTGTGTACATGCTTCAGTTGATACCAACGCTGGCTCTAAAACACAGACACTGAGACACCAGACCACAAATAAACCTTTCACCCAGCCAATGATAAATACAAACAACAATAGGTCATGACCCATGCGAATTCCTAATCAAAAATAAAATAATTGTACACAAATTACTAGAAATTTTAAGAACATATATATATATATATATATATATATATATATATATATATATATATATATATATATATATATATAGAGAGAGAGAGAGAGAGAGAGAGAGAGAGAGAGAGAGAGAGAGAGAGAGAGAGAGAGAGAGAGAGAGAGAGAGGAGAGAGACAGACAGACAGACAGAGAGAAAGACAGAGAGACAGAGACAGAGAGACAGACAGAGAGAGAGACAGAGACAGAGAGAGACACAGAGAGAGAGAGAAAGAGGGAGAGAGGGGAGAGAGAGATAGAGAGAAAGAGAGAGAGAAAGAGAGAGACTGACTCAAATGGTATAATCAAAAACATGAAACAAAGTGAAGCATTAGGTGAAATACATTCCCCAAGGCTTAAAAAATATGTATGGGTGACCCTCAGGATCACTGTGGGTGTAGGCAAATTTTACATTGAAATGGCTTCAAAAAGCAATTTGGTCCATAAGAAAATCCAATTCCCCAAATGCTACTTCAGTAAATATATTCATGTCCTGACTTCCTAAATGCTGCACAGGCGTAAACAAAACCAATGGTGTTAACTACGTGTCTTGTAAACATGTTACTGTAGAAATGCTGGTTAAATGGCATTTACAGGGGACTTGACCCTACCAGAAGTGCTGAGTTTGTGGCTTCCCGGAGTGAAAGAGTTAACAGGCGTGGATAGAGATAACAACATCTCTGTTTCAGCAATTAACTCAATAATGTGCATGTCATACGTAACTTAAACATAAGTTGTAATTATTACAGATTACAATTCTATTAAATATATAAAGAAAAATGCACCCTGTTCAGTTTGTGTTTAAAAAAAGAATTTAAAAATTACAATTTATTTTTTCTATAAGTGTCTATCCACTTAAATGGACTACAGTGAGGCATTTCTTAATTTCAAGTGACACTGTTGGTTTCCTCCACATACACCCTTCGGATACATCTCATCTGACTACACTGGAAATCTGAAGCTTTAAATGCTGACCAGACAGACAAGCTTCCTAAACATTCATCGTCATTTATACTATAAATATTCTGTTGCGGCCTTTCATTCTAATGTTGACATTTTTTGCCAAGACACTGGCCATAAGGCCGATCTCTACTATTTCCATCTGCGAATGGATTATTTACCAGTGCAATATGAATACAGGACATTCTCTTAATTCCACTGTCTGAGAGAAACAGGTCACCCGAGGCAGCACACATTTTTTAAAAAGCCATACCCTCTTTCATTCGTTTAAATTTAGCAGGCTAAAACTTTAATTGTTAAAATGTGATTTATCAGAGCACAGACTATGAGCTCTTCTACTACAAGCCATCAATTCTTACACATATGATTAGCAACTTATTTCCTCTTGAAGTTTCAGTAACGTTGAGAACTGATGATGATGATGATTAGCAAACCTTTTCCAGACTGAGTCACTGTAAAGAGGGATCCTTAAAGATGTGTGTCCAATAATTTTGTAAGAAAGTACAGCTGGAACTACATCGGCCATGCAGTCAGAATTGATTAAAAAAAAGATCCCCCTACCCCCACGAAGCCCTCATTTGGATACCGAGAGGGAAAACAGAAAGGGGAAGACCAAGAAAGACCCAGCGTAGAACCATCATCAGGAAAGGCTCCACTATGGGCCTAATGAACATCCAAGACCTACAACAGGTGGCAACGAACCGCCAGACATGGAGAGCTATGACCCTAGGCTCAAGAGGAAAGACTTACCAATATGACCCTAGGCTCAAGAGGAAAGACTTACTAATATGACCCTAGGCTCAAGAGGAAAGACTTACTAATATGACCCTAGGCTCAAGAGGAAAGACTTACTAATATGACCCTAGGCTCAAGAGGAAAGACTTACTAATATGACCCTAGGCTCAAGAGGAAAGACTTACCAATATGACCCTAGGCTTAAGAGGAAAGACTTACTAACAATAATGGACAGTTGAAATGGATACACGAAAAGAAATTAAAGCTATCCAAACTTCAAAACATTTCAGCTTCAGATTAGTCCAGCTGTTCTGAATCAGTGACATGGAGACTAATAAACTATCAACGTTCATTAACTGGTGTCTGAGCCAGACAGAATGCTTCCTAGAGTTCACTGGCTGTGAACTCCTAAGGATAGTTCTGGCAGTCTGTCCACTTCTGAGTTTTGGCCTCAATCCAGAACTTGAGCTTTGTGTGCACTTCTGTTTACAGTTCTGGCTTATCTGTGTGCAGACAATTGGTTCCTTGCTACTTCAACTTTGAAGAAATAACTCCTAATTAGTCTTTTTTTTTTTCAATCAGGCCTTTTATCGGACACAGATGAGGCCCTAGAACACACAAAAGGACAAATGTGTTATAAAACACACCAAAAAAATTATTGTTTTTAAAAACAAACTGGGCACATCCTAGAAGGGGAAAAAACTGTACAACAGAATCAGCCACGATCATGACGCAGAATGAAAAACATTTACAAATATTACACAAACAAATGTCATGTCATGGTTTCAATTTTAATAAAGTAGTGAAAACATCCAACAGATTTGTAAATTTACAACAAAATTCTGCCATTCATGAATACATAGTTGAAGAATCAAAATGGAAACAACTCATCAGAGAAACATAAATGACAAAAAGAAAATTACTGACATAGCATACAGCAAAACAGATGAAACTGTTGATGTCTTGTTGAAGCACAACCGTGGAAACATTTCAGGCTAAATGTGTCACACAGTTCAAGCATAGTTAAATAATACCCAGGACAAATTTCAGTTGAAGACTAACCAGATAAAGACAACAACAAAATAATAAAGTTGCAATTTTTTTTTTTTTAAATTCTCATTTTAAATGTTGAAGAAAGGAAGCCAGAATAAAAATTATACAGCAAGAGTAACAGATGAACAAATAAGGAAAAAACATAAAAATATAAACTGTTTCAACAGGTTTAGAATGAGTACATCGTTATTTAACAATGCATGTTTCCCCATTTAGCAATCTTTGCCACTTGAATTCATGTGTGCTTATTGGCTACTGCATGTGAACAAAATAAAAACTGTGACAGAATAAAGTGTGAGGAGAATAACAAAACTGCTGCATAAAAAATGGTGCTGTGATTGTTTTGAAGTTATAAAATAAGGAAACAATTAATACATAGTGTGGAAGAAAAGAACAGAACAAAACAAAACTGTTTCAGCCAGCGAAGTCAAACTTGGGCTATTTATTTAAGAAAACACAGAAAGAGACTGGCCGCCCGAGATAAATCAACAGAGAGCGGTCAGAGATGTGTGGCCACAACTAACGTTTGTGAGCAAATGAATGGGCCATACCTTCTGGCCTGTACTGGGCCACGATTTCCACAGTGTCCCCAGCTCGTTTGAGGGTCTGTGCAGCCTCCTCGTGTGTTGCATGCCTTAAATCGGTTCCATTTACCTGCAGCAAAGTTAGAAATAAAGGTGATTGTCAATTCATATGAGCCTGACACTTAAACAGGTGAAACTCTAGAACATCTCAACACAAGATTCATAAATAAAGTAAAGATCCCTTTTTCACGCCTTTAGGCATAAAGGGCACATAGGGTTATACCTAGATTTTTATAGACCAATTGGCACAAGATGGGTGATGTGATCAGCATCACGCCTGCCGCCCCTACTTCCCAGAACTGCATCCCGGTACCCACTCAAGGCTGAGTCGACCTGGGAGTCAAAGCCATGTTTTTTAAGTCAGGCTCCGCTAAAGAGCGAACCCACGACCTTCCGATCCGCACGCGAGCATCTAGCCGCTACACCACGGCGACGCCCTGAGATTAATGAATAATGATGTGAATTTCCAACCAATTGGATTATGAGGAGCGTATGATGCAACATACAGAATAAGAAGAACTCCACAAGGGAGCATGCGTATCAGGGGTCCACCGATCATCAGTAGAGAGATCTTTCGTCGATGATTGTTTCGGCCCATTATTTCTCTAGACAAGATCTTCCATCGATGATTGTTTCGGCCCATTATTTTCCTAGACAATCTCAGAAGTTGGGCCGACCTGGGTCATGAAGCCGGACCTCCATCTTCCCCCCTGCTGCACTTCATCTGACTTGATAGGACAAGAGTAGAAAGCAGAAAGAGTAGCTGCAAAAGTGGGCAAGTATGTAAAGAGGGTTGTTAAGCAAGTAAGTGCAAGGTTATTCACATAGCTTGTTAAGTAAATAAGTACACAGATAGGTATGAGGGTAGGCAGGCAGGTCAGTACAAGGGTAAAAAGACAGCTAGCTAGGTAGGTAAATATCAGGGTTGGTAGAGAGGCAAGCACCTAGGTAGGTAGGTAGGTAGGTAGGAAGGTAGGTAGGTAGGTAGGTAGGTATCAAGGTAGGTAGAGAGGCAAGTACACATCTAGCTAGGTAGGTAAGTATTAGGGTAGATAGAGAGGCAAGTTCACATCTAGCTAGGCAGGTAAGTATCAGGGTAGGTAGAGAGGCAAGTTGACATCTAGCTAGGCAGGTAAGTATTAGGATAGGTAGAGAGACAAGTTCACATCTAGCTAGGCAGGTAAGTATCAGGATAAGTAGAGAGGCCTTTTTTACACTCACGGCCCACTAAAACAGAGGAACTCATTTCGAGCTCACCTGACAGCAAACCAAACACAGAAACAAGCAAACCAAACACAGAAACAAGCAAACCAAACACAGAAACAAGCAAACCAAACACAGAAACAAGCAAACCGAACATAGAAACAAGCAAACCAAACACAGAAACAAGCAAACCAAACACAGAAACAAGCAAACCAAACACAGAAACAAGCAAGCCGAACACAGAAACAAGCAAACCAAACAGAAACAAGCAAATCAAACACAGAAACAAACACAAAATGTAGATAGCAGTAATTGTGATGTCACTCAAGAACAATATCAGTAGGAGAGTTGGCAGAGAAGCAATACTGAACTTCATAAGCAGACAACAGATCAAATGGTTTGGCCATGCAACAAGACGCATCCGAAAGGGCACCACAGAGAGCAATGTTATATAGATAGAATGGTAACAGAACCAGAGGTCAACCATACAGAGGATGGACCACAGAAATATTAGAGACACTGAAAAGTACTTTCGACAAAGCGAAAAGAAGAGCCTGTTCCAGAAACCTCTTCCTGCCCCGAGGCATTTCAGGAGTAGAGAAAAGAAGATGAAGATGAAGATGAAGATAAAGATGAAGAAGATGTCACAAAATACCATTTTCAATTTATGTGGCATCTGCTGCTGCTTAGGTTACAATATCTACACACCTGAGCGGGGTTTGCTTAATTTCTACCTGTTTGATTATCAACTTTGATGTATTAATTATAATGACTCAATCCTGGAAGGTAAAAACTACCTAATCTACTCATACACAGTATGTACGACAGTTTTGGCAGCCCACCCGGACTTTTCCACAGCCCAGCGGTTGAAGAACACTGCAGGAGAGGACAGAGACTGGTACTTACAGAAAGGATCTGGTCTCCACGGCGTAACTCCCCTGAGAGGTCGGCAGGTCCTCCAGCCAGGATGAAGGACACAAAGATCCCTTCACCATCCTCGCCTCCCACAATGTTGAACCCTAGTCCAGTTGACCCTTTCTTCAATACGATCTTGCGTGGCTCCCTGCAATAATAAAGCCAGTCTCGTGAGATTACACATCAAAATAAAGAATATTCTCCTTCAACGACTAGTGTCAGCCATGTGTCTATTCCAGTATGGGTCATAAACAGGTTAGCACACTCAAGGTCTCTGCCAGTGCCCCACAATTACATACCAAAGCATGAGAGTATAAACAGGCTTGGCAGAAATGATCAGACCAACATTTTCAAACTCAGAACGGGACACTGTAAACTTAGAGCACACCTACACTGAATGGGTCTGGCTAACTCTGGTGCATCTGGTGGTGGCTCACCAAAGCAAACTCTAGAGCATGTCTTAATGGACTGCCCAGACTTTGCCAGTCAGAGAGAAGAAATCTGCTCCAAAGAGGCATAATTACATAAGTAACTGAACTTGTGTTAAGACATTAAAAACTCATTTTAGGTAGATTGTAGAAATAGCAAGTAGGCAGGTAGGTAAGTAGGAAGGTTGGCTGGTCAGTGGTAGACAAGAAAGCAGATAGACATTCCTATGGTTATTTCATTATTCCAAAGATAATATTTTGTTCCTGATGTTCTGTCATGGACATAAATAATATTAACCCTTAGCATTGACCGACTGTAAACTCCTACAGAAATTTCTGGTTGTTCACCCACTTCTGGATTCTGGTTTTGTTCCAGAACTTGAGCCTCCTCGTGGGCTGATCATGTGCTGTCTTCATATTATTCATTATGTAGCAGTGCCAGTGATTTGTGTGCACATTATTTGACAGAACTGGTTTATGTGTATGCAGACTGTTGGTTCCCCACCCCTAAAGCAGATGCACTCCGACTTCAAAGGAAATACCCATATTTAGTCACTTTTTACATCAAACTTGTTGGGGGGAGGGGGGGGGGGTGGGGGTGCAAACGTAAAAAAAATCCCTTGGCAGTTGGAAATTGATAAGGAGTAGCTTAACAGCGCTACCCTGTCAAAATTTAGAGTTGAAAATCTACGCAAGGTATTTCAGGATCCTCACTGGTGCAACGCGGAGTCTGTGCACTGCGATGAGATCCTTCAGACTCAGACCTGAGTTAGAAGTAGAAGGGAGCACTTGTGGGTTACACCCGTGTGTCATGATGTTGATCCGTTGACTAAACATAAACATTAACAATGACATAAACCCCGCCGTTTCTTGGATCAGATTAATAAGCGCCGAGAAAAATAAATTAAGCCGGTGACGTATTCAAAACATGAATGGAAGGAGGACCCTAGCCAACTGAATCGATCGGCGGTTGACCTCCCGGGTGCTACCTGCAAGTTTACTACACCCTGAGATTTAAAAAATCCCTAATCTGGATATCAGATGATTAATTTCAGGCAGATCCAAGATAACGACTATAACTCTTTCAATGTTCAAGGAAGTCATAAATTAGGACACAGCGGCTAAACCAGACCCCAAGAAAAAGAAAAAAAAAAAAACACAAGTATAACCACTATTGTAATACTCATACTCATCAAAGCTGACAATATATTAACCATTCACTACTAGCAAAACAAGTAGTTAAAAAACACTTGGGACAGACTCCAGTAATAAAACTAGCAGACAGCGAAAGTTCGCCAGTCTCTCACTCTCTAGCAGACGACACCATCCCTATCAACTCACCGGATTATCTTAGAGCCGTGAAATACCGCATCTATCCGTTTCTCCGTCATATACATCCTTGCATAACAAGCAAACGAGCCAACAATTCACTGTAAACTTATAACAACATCGGGAAACAACAAGAAAGAAAATGTCCTGCGATATTAATCAGTGAAAGCTGAGAGACCGTCTCGGGGAAGCCATGTTGAATGCTAACAACCAACCGACGCCGTTAAGTCCCGATGTCCCATTGGTCGGTTGGATTCCCTCTGTCCAGTCGATGAAGCGTTTACAGACTGTAAATTATGCAGCGTTCACAGGCCGGGACCGGCCCGGGCCGTTCGCAAATCATTCAGTGGTACTAATGGGATTTGTAGATGTCTGGAAACAGATTTGTAAATGTTTTGAAAGAAACAGATTTGTAGATGTCTTGAAAGAAACAGATTTATAGATGTTTTAAAAAGAAACAGATATGTAGATGTTTTGAAAGAAACAGATTTGTAGACGTCTTGAAAAAAAGATTTGTAGATGTTTTGAAAGAAACAGATTAGTAGATATCTTGAAAGAACAGCTTTGTAGATGTTTTCAAAGAAAACAGATCTGTAGATGTCTTGAAAGAAACAGATTTGTAGATGTCTTGAAAGAAACAGTTTTGTAGTTGTTTTGAAAAAAAAAACCCAGCTTTGTAGATGTTTTGAAAGTAACAGATTTGTAGATGTCTTGAAAGAAACATATTTGTAGATGTCTTGAAAGAAACAGATTTGTAGATGTCTTGAAAGCAACTCGCCAAGAGAAGTGATTGCCAACAACAGAATAGAACAAATCCCTGGCGATGCGTGCTTGTTGCGCCTGTAATTGCCGCTGATACTTTCCATTGCGCACGCACGCACACACACACACACACACGCACGAACGCACGCACACACACAAATGCATTATTTTACTATTTATTATCTACTGTTTCCTATTAGGAATACAAACTGGCCACTCTGTTTACGTCTCTAACATAGAGCGGGGGCGGGGGACGCTGACTGCTTGTTTATGCTACTCACGCAGAATCTTTTCTCCAGGCTATGCCGGCGTAGTGGGTAATCAACAGGCAGACAGATTGGCTGGATCTGCACCACTGGGTGATGAATTGATACATGACAAGGCAGATGTGGCCCTTTGAGAACAAGCAACGGAATTAGTAGAGAAACAGGATTATTATGGCCCGGAGAGAATGACTCACCTGAGTGTAACCAGATGGTCTGGTCGGCTCACTTCACTCAGAGAAAAAGCAAGACAGACATATAACCAGATTGTGACTAGTACCATCAGTATTGGAACTCAGCGCTGGCTGCTGAAGATGAGGACGGAGCATACATGGGAATGCACCGAGTGCTGCGATGTCAATTCTTGACTCAACTCAACACAAAAACTGTAACTGCGACAATCTACTTTCTTTCGTCACGTCAGGAGAAAGAGCAAAACGGAGCACATCGTAACGGCTGAAAAGTTTAGTTCAGTCGACAGATCAACATCAGGGCACACGGGCGTAACCAATAAGTGCTCCGTTATACTTCTAACTAAAGCCTGAGTCTGAAAAGTCTCAGCGCAGTACATGTGAACTCCGTTGCACCGGCGAGGATCCTGAAATACTTTGGGTAGATTTTTAACTCACAATGTTGCCCAGGCAGCGCTGTTAAGCTACTCTTTTCGATTTCCACCTGCTAAGGTTTTTTTTTTTTAATCTTGGCACAACCGGGCTCACCCATACCATATGCGTAAGGTGTAGATGCTAACTGTTCCCCTAGCACATCAATTATTCAAAAGTCGATCTCTTCCTTCCATCCACCCCTCCTTGTCGGATCAACACTTAATTCCTCGTTCCCATATTCTTGTCCGTTATTTTATCTAATCTCTGCCAAAAGTCGTTCACATTTGGTCTTCAGAATATCCCCCTTGTCCAGTACGAGTGTTCCCGTAGCTTTCGCTTGTGTAGCCAAAAAATCCGCTCTTTCATTCCCTCGCACTGTTAGATTATATATAAACTATCTCGTAACACCATGGATCGGGAAGAGAAGAAGTACAGCACAGTTTCTGTTATCCCTCATCGCATTAAAACAACAAATGCTTGAGTATCAATGGACTAGTCGGCCTCTGTGGCTTAGGCGTAGCAAACGCGCTTCCTAATGTGGTATTCGGGAATTCCAGACTTGTCCCCTGAACCACATATGGACAAGTCCTGCATACAGGTCTGTGACATGAGGCGTGCCAAAGTGGGACTCTGACGCAGGCCGTAACCGACTCTTAACTAAAATGTCCTTTGAGGTTACGGTCATGTCTGCAGGCTACTAGATGAAGTTCAGAGACAATCGTGCTGGTGGCAGGGTCAGTCCTAGGGATGGAGAGATGAGTAAGGAGACAATTTTTGGCACGGATGTTGTCAGGGTGGTAGGTAAGTATGATGATATGTCTGCTGTGGTCAGGTTTCGGCTTGGAAACGAGAGACTCGGCACGATGGATAGACCGTGCTTAGTGAAAGGCGGCATATTAAGACATGTTAATGATACCCTCGAAGCCGGAGGAAGTCCAGCATTTTCAGGGCCTTGATGTGAAAGTCGTCGTTCTCCTGGCATAGAAGTTGCGAGAAGGGAATTGAGTCCTTGCAGAAAGAGGGATGGGAGGACGTGGAGAGAAGAAAAGTGTGGGAATCAATAGGCTTATAGTACACCGAGGTGCTAAGGTCTATAGAGTCCACGGTGACAGTGAGATCCTGAAAATTCACCGACGAAGTTGACATGCTGGAAGTGCATCGGATGCTGGGATGGAAGTTGGAGAACAAATGAATGAGTTCTGCAGTTCTGGTAGGGGCATATCGGTGACACCGCTGCAATCATCGATAAACCTCCTGTAGAGCTCGGGGAGCCTACCGGTATATGCATGACGTATCTGATGCTCAAGGTAGCCCATGCAGGAGGAGGTATAGCTAAGTCCCATCTTGGTGCCCATATAACCGCAGCTGGTCTGGTTGAAATAGTGGCCACTAAACTCGAAAGAGTTTAGAGTAAGCACTTACTCAGCCAGACGTATCAAAGGGTCAGTGGCTATTGCAGGGCTGACTCTCAACTAGAAAGAACTGCAAACCCTGGAGGCCATCCGAATGTGGAATAGACGTGTTGAGAGAGGTAACATCTAAGGTCAAGTTGTGGTACCTGGAAGAAAAGCTGAACTGGATCGACTGAAAGACATAGCACGGTTAGTATCTTTGATGTAGGATGGGAGACAAACGACCTGGGGCTGCAAAACAGGGTCAAAATACCAGCCTTGAGTGGGTACCAAGTGCAGTCCTGTGAAGAAGTAAAGATGGCCAGCATGATACTGACCACATCGCCCACGACCAAGTGCCGATTTGTCAATAACAATATAATTCTAGCCATATATTCCCAATACGCCTAAAGGCGTGGAAAAGGGAACTTTACTAAAACAAACGACCCAGCACCTGAGAATCAATACATAAAAACGTTCGCTTGTTAACGGGACCCCACAAGAGAAGCAAGCTATTGGTCACCAGCTACACCCACACTGGACAACCGGCTGTTTCGTACCCCTTTCGTGGTGCCACTATAACCGTGCTATATGGATATAAAGTTTAACGAGAATTCCAGGATTTGTAGCTGTTTGATTCTCATTCTTGAGATGTTACTCATGCACAGTGCCATCATGGAGGGGAAACACGTAGGTACTTTTGCAATTATTCACCCCAATGACGTCTCAGGACTGTCAAATAATTTTGAGGATGGATAGTGCTTTTCCAGTGTGTTTCCAACTGTCTTCCTGGTTTGCCAAGGTTTTGGAGCGTTGCTGAGGCTTTTGCGCGCTTCTTGTTCCTGACAGCGTCTTCACTTCAGCGACTGGTGTATGTGGCATCTTGTTCCAGTCTTTATCGCCATAAATTTCCTCAAATTAGCTGCATCTGTGCCTGACAAGTAGACAGGCGTTGCCTTCCTGCAACATCATGTGAAACCAGCAGAATACATCTAGAAAAATTTGCCTTTTTTATGGCCTCCACAGTACCCCAACTGACAATTTTTCCGATTGCACATAGATTTTCACACACACAAATATATTACAAAACAGCATCCTCCTATCCAGAAGAAAACACCTGTTTGCCAGCTGCCGGCGATTTCGAGTGTTCTATATTCCACGATGTGCGCGCTTTTAACGACCAGCATAATGAGGGAATTTGCAGTTTTACACCAACATCCTGAAGGATAGAAGATGGAAGACCATTCATCTGGACTGGACAGTAGTCAGAAATGGAAGCTATGTAAATGACCGTGCTACGAGAAAAATTTTCCCACTTCTGACAATATGAAGAGAGAGAGAGTAGAGTTGAGACTATACTTTATTCAGAAAAGAAATAGAGACCACATTTTTTGGTTGTTTCCATCCCTAGCTGCTGAAAAGATAAGGACAGATTCTTTGCTCCTTGTGGCAGACAAGCTTCCAAATCACTGCCAGGCTGGTCGTGTGTGATGAATGAAGTGCCCCGAGGAAGGTCTTGGTCTTGGTGACTGGGACAGAGCCAACATTTAATCTCATTCTCTGACCGGATGAGTTCAGTCAAGAATTGACATCACAGCTTTCAGGGCCTTCCTATGCGTCCTCATCTTCAGCAGCCAGCGCTGAGTTCCAATACTGATGGTGCCGGTCACAATCTGGTTATATGTCCGTCTTGGTTTTCCTCTGAGTGTATTGAGCCGGCTAGACCCTCTGGTTACACCCAGGTGCCTCATTCTCTCCAGACCATAATAATCATCTATCTCTACTGATTCCGTTGCTTGTTCCCAAAGGGCCTTGGCCACATCTATCTGCCTGTTCATTTCCCAGTATGCCGGCACAGACTGGAGAAAAGATCCAAAGTGTGCTCACTACCTGAATGGATGATCCTCTGGGAAACCTCAGGTGGTAATTGTGTGTTGTTTCTCATTAACCCTCTCACGACGACAGTTTCATGTGACTATCATTTTTATCCTTCATGAAATCTATTTAGTTTGAGCATTGTATTTCAAAAGTAAATAGATGATCAGTATTGACTTTAATTTAATAAACATATCTATGATTAATTTACGTTCATAGTTAAAGTTTAATTGAGTTGAGAATCGACACAGCACTCAGAGCATTCCCATGAATACTCCGTCCTCATCTTTAGCAGCCAGCGCAGAGTTCCAATACTGATGGTACCGGTCACGATCTGGTTATATGTCCGTCTTGCCTTTCCTCTGAGTGCAGCGAGGCGGCCAGACCCTCTGATTAATCCAGATGCCTCATTCTCTCCAGGCCATAATAATCTTGTCTCTCTGATTCCGTTGCTTGTTTCTAAAGGGCCAATACCACATCTGCCTTGTCATGTATCTTCTTCTTCTGCGTTCGACATCAGTCATGCTAAACATTGAGTCCCGTCTGGGTCACAAATAGGATTGTGCGTTTAAGGTGGCCACCCCATAGCTTGTCTTGCAATGTGGCTCCCTTGGGCCAGATCCAGTCTTTGCTGGGAGAGGTTAGAGCAGTGCTGTAGTATGTGCTCAGGGGTCTGTCTTTCTGCTCCACAATCACAGGCAGCAGATTCTGTTATGCCTATTCTGCACAAGTGTGCTCGAAGACCACAGTGTCCAGTCAGAAGTCTAAAAATTGATGTTTGTTCTTTCCTGTTGAGTTTGTTTATGCTGTCACTCTCTGGTCTGTAATCTCCATTCTGCCTTCTCCACTCCCGCTTGAGAGACTGCTTTAGCGCTGTTTTGGTTTCCTTGTAGCTGTGTGGTGGATGAGGTTGTGGAAGATTACTCCCAGCTTTTGCCAACTCATCTGCTCTCTCATTTCCTTGAATACCACAGTGGGCTGGTATCCACTGCAAGACCAGTTCTGCTTCCTTGGAGAGTAAGCCAATGTTGGTCCTCTTGTTTTTTGCTGGATAGTGCTTGGAGAACAGTCAAAGAGTCACTAAGTATAACAATTTGGTGCCCTCTGTGTTCTTGAGTGATGAGATGTTGGACTGCAGAGAGGGCAGTTGCCTCAGCTCTGAAATTAGTGCAGATGTCACCTGCTGGTAGAGAGAGAGTTTCTGCTCTACTGCTAGGGGGTTTAATATAAATTCCACAATCCCCCTTTCTGACTGCATCTGTAGCAGAGCCGTCGGTGAAAACCTGAGTCCAAGTGGTGTTAGGATACTTCTCATCAAGCATAGCAAGAGCCAGGGTTCTCTGTTGTGTCTCCGTCTGGGCATCTTTTGACGAGATTCCTGGTACCTTTAGGACTACATTTGCTTTCTCTGGCTTGCTTGTCCATGGTTCTGGCCTAAGTTTTTCACACAGTGCAACATCTCTTTCAAGCAGATCTTGGTGGTGTCTGTACAGTTCTCTAGCAAGGTGGTTGGGGCTCTGACGCTTCAGTCTGTTTTTTGTTCTCTCTTGAAATTTAAAATGCAGTGGGTGACTTTGAAGTCTTTTTAATTTCTCGTACTGTAAAAGAGTTTTGTATTGTCTTCTGAGTTCGAGTAGTTCAGTATCTGCTATCCTTTCTATCTCTCTGATGGGGGTGGTTTTCATGGCTCCGAGAACAGAATGTCATGTATCAATTCACCACCCAGTGGTGCAGATCCAGCGGGTGGTGAATTGATAAAAAGTTTGATTTTATTTCTAGATATGTGTAAGGTGTCAGTTTAGTGCTCTATATCAAAATACATATTCTAGATTCATTAAAGATCTGAACATAAGGAAGATTGGCTAATAAACAGCATTCTGCCTCGGGAGCTGAAAAATTTTGGTCATATCAAGCGCCACAACGGATTGGAGAAAATAATAGCAGAAGGCATGGTACTAGGAAGGAGGGGCAGGGGCCGACCAACACGAAGATGGGCACAGTATACAAGTGACTCCTTGAGTATGAAAGTAAATGAGGCAGGAGAGCTGGCGAGAGGCCGAGTTTCTTTCAGGCAAATTGTGATGACAGCCATGTTCTGCAAAGGACCTGCTACATGGCGATGATGAGATAGGGGGCATAATTTAATGACCAGAAAGGGAAATTGTCGGGAAGGGTTATCTGCTTTGTCTAAGTGTTATCTAGGCATCTAAACTCCTTTTTCCCATTTCTGGGGATATTCAGGCAGTTCACTTTCCTTTACGAGTCAATTCGAGTCTGTATCTGAGTATCCAGGGACACTGTCTGCTCTCTGCATCAAAAGACAGTTGTCTCGATTTCTCATTGCATAGGGAGGGAGGATTTAAACCTCTACGGCCTACCATAGTGAGTAATTTAGAAACCAGTTCCACAACAAGGAGGAAGAAGAGAAAGAGGGGGAGGAAGGGAAAGAAGAGGAAAGGTAGAAGGAAGAAAGGAGGAAGAAGAAGCAGAAGAAGAGGAAGCAGCAGCGCAGAAGAGGAGAAGGAGGAAAAAGGGGATGAGGAGCAGCAGCAGCGCAGAGGAGGAGGAGGAAGAAGAAGCAACAGCAGCAGTGCATAGCAGGAGGAGAAGGAGGAAGAGGGAAAAGAAGCAGCAGCGTGGAGGATGAGGATAAAGAGGAGAAGCAGACTGACTTACGCTGGAAACTCCTCATCATCAGAAGCATTAGACTTTGGTGCTGTGGGTGTGGACGGTCGGAAGGTGGAGGCCCCGTGGGAGGTGGAATGGGAGAGGCTGCCTGGGGCTTGGTCTGAAACAGCAAACAGGAAAGGTAAGTTTGTCGTGTATCCTATACAGGTTGTTGCAGAACCAACCCCGGCATTTTTTTTTTGGTGGCTGTTATGGTTTTTCTGGGCAAATTTTCGTCCAGTAGTTTGCTATTGCTTTCTGAGCATCAGCTTCTCAATACCACTGCTGAAACCAACACAAGGCGCAAGTCCCGCAGCTGGGAGCGAACCCGGCACCCCGGCATTACGAAGCTTGTTGGCAACACCTAAGCCAAAGACGCCGACAAATAGAAACAGATTTATTGCATTTGGTTTGCTCACATCTGATTCTAATCTCTCACACAGAACCTCACATTTGCTTCTAATTTTTAACACAAAACCTCACAACTGCTTCAAATCTCTCATACAAAACCTCACAATTGCTTCAAATCTCTCATACAAAACCTCACAACTGCTTCAAATCTCTCATACAAAACCTCACAATTGCTTCAAATCTCTCATTCAAAACCTCACAATTGCTTCAAATCTCTCATACAAAACCCCACAATTGCTTCAAATCTCTCATACAAAACCTCACAATTGCTTCAAATCTCTCATTCAAAACCTCACCATTGCTTCAAATCTCTCATACAAAACCCCACAATTGCTTCAAATCTCTCATACAAAACCTCACAATTGCTTCAAATCTCTCATACAAAACCTCACATTTGCTTCAAGTCTCTCATACAAAACCTCACATTTGCTTCAAATCTCTCATACAAAACCTCACATTTGCTTCAAATCTCTCATACAAAACCTCACATTTGCTTCAAATCTCTCATACAAAACCTCACATTTGCTTTGAATCTCTCATACAAAACCTCACATTTGCTTCGAATCTCTCATACAAAACCTCACATTTGCTTCAAATCTCTCATACAAAACCTCACATTGCTGCAAATTCTCATACAAAAACCTCTCAACCCCGACAGCTTCAAATCTCTCATACAAAACCTCACATTTGCTTCAAATCTCTCATACAAAACCTCACATTTGCTTCAAATCTCTCACACACAAGTTCACTCTTGTTTCTAATATCTCACATACAAAATCTCACATTTGCTTTTAATTTCTGACGCCCCAAAAAACAACAACCTCACATCTGATTCTAATCACCCACCCACAAAACCTCATATTTGCTAAAAACACACACACATATACATGCACTCACACATGTACGCATGCACAGGCACACAGACACACACTTATAGAAGCCTATATCTGCTAATGCCCACATCACGAAAGCTTATCTACCACTAATCCCCCACACTGATAAGCCCCCATCCACTACAAATCCCCCACACAGATAAGCCCCCATCCATTTCAAATCCCCCATGCAGATAAGCCCCCCATCTATTACAAATCCCCCACACAGATAAGCCCTCATCCATTACAAATCCCCCACACAGATAAGCCCTCCATCTATTACAAATCCCCCACACATAGATAAGCCCCCATCAACCATAAATTTCCCAGACAGACAAGCCCCCATCCACTACAAATCTCCCACACAGATAAGCTCCCATCCAATACAAATCTCCCACACAGATAAGCTCCCATCCAATACAAATCTCCCACACAGACAAGCCCCATCCACTACAAATCCCCCACACAGACAAGCCCCCATCCACTACAAATCTCCCACACAGATAAGCCGCCATCCACTACAAATCTCCCACACAAATAAGCCCCCCACCCACTACAAATCTCCCACACAGATAAGCCCCCATCCACTACCAATCTCCCACACAGATAAGCCCCCATCCACTACAAATCTCCCACACAGATAAGCCCTTATCCACTACAAATCTCCCACAGATAAGCCCCATCCACTACAAATCTCCCACACAGATAAGCCCCCATCCACTACAAATCCCCCATCCACTACAAATTTCCCATCCACTACAAATCTCCCACACAGATAAACCCCCATCCACTACAAATCCCCCATCCACTTCAAATCTCCCACACAGATAAGCCCCCATCCACTACAAATCTCCCACACAGATAAGCTCCCATCCACTACAAATCTCACACACAGACAAGCCCCCATCCACTACAAATCCCCCACACAGATAAGCCCCCATCCACTACAAATCTCCCACACAGATAAACCCCCATCCACTACAAATCCCCCACATCAACAAGTGAAACTCACCTATGGACTCATTCAGCTGCTCTGGAAGGTAGGCAGGCTTGGCAATGATCAGCCTGACTACATCCTTTGTACTCTTCAGCGCCTGCACGGCTTCCTCGTGCGTGACATTCTCCAGGTTGTGCTCATTCACCTGTGAAACATGGTTACAATCTGTCAGTAAAAAAAAAAACTCCCTAAAGATCAGAAGGGGACAGAAGAAGAGGCAGACCAAGAAAGTCCTGGATACAGAGCTTGACTGACTGGACAGTCCTTAGTCATGAAACCATGAAGTCCATTGCATCTGACTGCCAAAGATGAAGTGGAGCTGATTAGACTGACAACAGAAAATGGTGACCCAATGACACACAGTGTTATAAGACAACGACGACAACGCCTTTGATGATGATGATGATGATGATCGTGATGAACACAACTTACAGCAATAAGCCTGTCCATGACGACGACGACGATGATGACCATGATGACGACCATGATGACGACGATGATGATGATGATGATAATGATCACGATAAACACAACTTACAGCAATAAGCCTGTCCATGACAACGACGATGATGATGATGATGACCGTGATGACGACGATGATGATGATGATAATGATCACGATAAACACAACTTACAGCAATAAGCCTATCCATGACGATGATGACGATGACGATGATGATGATGATGACCATGATGACGACGATGATTATGATGATAATAATCACGATAAACACAACTTACAGCAATAAGCCTGTCCATGACAATGATGATGATGATGATAATGATCACGAAGAACACAACTTACAGCAATAAGCCTGTGCATGATGACGACGATGACGACGATGATGATCGCGATGAACACAACTTACAGCAATAAGCCTGTCCATGAAGACACTGATGATAATGATGATGACGATGATGATGATGACCATGACGACGACGACGATGATGATCGTGATGAACACAACTTACAGCAATAGGCCTGTCCATGAAGACACCGATGATGATGATGATGATGGTGATCACGATGATGATGATGATCACAATGATCACAACCTACAGCAATAAGCTTGTGCACGACGATGATGATGATCATCATCACGATGAACACAACCTACAGCAATAAGCTTGTGCACGACGATGATGATGATGATGATGATGATGATGATGATCACGATGAACACAACCTACAGCAATAAGCTTGTGCACGACGACGATGATGATGATGATGATCACGATGAACACAACCTACAGCAATAAGCTTGTGCACAACGACGATGATGATGATAACGATGATGATCACGATGAACACAACCTAAAGCAATAAGCCTGTCAATGATGATGACGACGACAATGAAGATGATGACGATGATGACAATGATGATGAGGACGATGATGATGACGATGAACACAACTTACAGCAATTAGCCTGTCCATAACAGCCAGCCTGCCGTCCTGCTCTGCAGCTCCTCCATCGATGATCTTGGTGATGAAGATGCCGTTGTCACCGGGGATGTGCTGGTTGCCCTTGCCTCCCGCGATGCTGAAACCCAAGCCTGGGGACGGACCAAACAACAGCCACATTAATGACACAGAAATCAGTCACTTTCAATTGAGTACACAAGTGTTTCTCCTTATTCTCTTCTTCTTACTATTCACCAGCTGTAAACACCGGAGAAAAGGTTTACTTATCCACTTTTGGACTGTGGTCTTGTTCCGGAGTTTTCTGTGCACTTGTTTTACAAACATGGCTTGTTCGTATGCAGACTGTTGGTTCCTCATCTCTCAGACATGCTCTCTGATTTCGAAGAGGACACCTCTAATTAGTTGCCTGTTACAAACTGCTTGTTGGGGGAGCCTCTGCTGCACATGACCGTTCTGGATGGCGTTACACCCCTCATGCGTGGTGCATCAGCCTGCCAGGCAGACGAGGTTGCACAGGCAGAGAAATGGAGGGAGACTACAAAGAATCGTAGCGCTAATCCCACACTTACTGCGGCTTCTGCCTGCTGCCAGCACTGGCAAGAACTTGCCAGGCTCAGATCGGTTTAATCAGCCACCTTCGTACTCATAATCATTGATGATGACTACTTTGGATGAAGAATAGTCTTCATTACTTGTGATGGACAAAGAAGATAACATTAGGAGGGGTAGTGGGTATATCCCCCCCACCCCCCACCCAAAGTGGGGGGCCTCTAATTCCATACAGGGGATGATTTTTCTTGTTCGTGAGACCTAGCGGCAGCAGTGTCTGGTGGAGATGACAGCTGATGTTTGTTTCGAGGGTAGGCTGGTGTCTGAGGGTGCCTGAGTTTGTAGGCTATCATGTGTATAGGTGTGTGTCAGTGATCTGTCTATCCTCAGACATCCTCCCTCACACAAAGTGGGGGCCGCTAATTCCATACAGGGGATGATTTTTCTTTACCTCAAATACTTCATTCAGTCAGCCAGATTCTCCCATTTTTTTTAATCAGCCTCTAAACTCCAAAACAGCTGCAATCCTGCCCAGCCCTCAGGCTTTACCTGTTCCAGGTGTTGTGGCTTGCTCCCAGAGGTCAGCACATCCAGAGCCATGACCTGCAGCCCGTTAATTTGGATTCCTGTGAATCTGCAGTGACTTCTTCTTTTGTTCGCCTGAAATAAGTTGTCTATATCAGCAGTTTTGTCTCTTGTATAAATTTCACTGTCGTTGTAAGTTCATTCAGTGGTCCATAGAGTTTACGTTCCACTGTTGTTCTTTGTGGCCAAAAGGTTTGCCTTAATGTGTCAAAATCCTGGAGTACATGCTCTGCTGTCTGGGGCACATTTCCACAGGTGCACATGGCTGATACACCTATCTTGAATTTTGTGTACATGTGGTTACGTAATCGGTTGTGCCCTGTCCTGAGGCGGAGGATAATGACTTGTTCTGGTCTGTCCATAATGCAGTGACCAATCTTCAGTTCCTTAAAGAGCAGCAGATGAGATGGTGTGGCCCAGGGACAAACTGTGAAAGTCACACTAAAGATATACAACCAACACAGAGCAAGGGGGTGGTAGAAAGAAAAAAAGGCTTCAGCCCCAAGAATCATCTCTGATATATGAAAACCACAGTAACCAATGCATCAGAAAAAAAGTACATAGGTGTTCTCTGCATTTCTCTTTTTGTTTCAAACCCCTCCCCCCTTATTCGTGTTGTTTCAACCCCCTCCCCCCTTATTCGTGTTGTTTCAACCCCCTCCCCCCTTATTCGTGTTGTTTCAACCCCCTCCCCCCTTATTCGTGTTGTTTCAAGCAATTCCTTGGGGTAACTTCTTCTTGTTTTTCGTGTTCACCAGCTGTTAACTCTGGCGGAAAGTTCTGGTTGTTCATCCACTTTCGGACTGCAGTCCTGTTCCAGAACCTGAGTTTTGCTTGTGCATCCGTTTGACAGATCTGACTCATTTGTATGCAGACTGCTGGTGCCTTGCCTCTCAGGCAGAGGCACTCCGACCTCGAAAGAAGCTCCCAATTAGTCAACTCTTACGACATGCAGTAAGGTAGGGAGAAATGGGGTCACTAACTAATGTGAAAGGGAGGGTCAGGCAGAGGGGGAGGGTGAGGCAGAGGGAGGGTAAGGCAGAGGAATAAGGAGGAAATGGAAGAAGAAAGGGATAATTTTGTACAGTTAGCAACTGATATTATAAACATCCAAATAGTCATTGCCAGAAAAAAAATATCACCCCTCCACCTCTCCCATATTAGAGTGCCAAGAATGTTTCAAATATATCCACAGTTTTGCCACCTCTTCTTTTACACATATTAGAGTACCAAGAATGTTTCAAATATATCCACAGTTTTGCTACCTCTTCTTTTACACATATTAGAGTACCAAGAATGTTTCAAATATATCCACAGTTTTGCCACCTCTTCTTTTACACATATTAGAGTACCAAGAATGTTTTCAAATATATCCACAGTTTTGCCACCTCTTCTTTTACACATATTAGAGTACCAAGAATGTTTCAAATATATCCACAGTTTTGCCACCTCTTCTTTTACACATATTAGAGTACCAAGAATGTTTCAAATATATCCACAGTTTTGCCACCTCTTCTTTTACACATATTAGAGTACCAAGAATGTTTCAAATATATCCACAGTTTTGCCACCTCTTCTTTTACACATATTAGAGTACCAAGAATGTTTCAAATATATCCACAGTTTTGCCACCTCTTCTTTTACACATATTAGAGTACCAAGAATGTTTCAAATATATCCACAGTTTTGCCACCTCTTCTTTTACATATATTAGAGTACCAAGAATGTTTCAAATATATCCACAGTTTTGCCACCTCTTCTTTTACACACTGCTCCCCCAACACACGATTCCACCCATTTAGCCAAGCCAATGAACAGCCACTGGATCTCATCCCAGCTGACAGGAAGTATTTGTGGCTGTCAGAGCCAGGCCAAGAGAAGAGCACTCTGGCAGGACAGGAGTAGGCAGACGCCAGCAAATGGACCTGACTTTCATTGACTGCCCTCTCCTGTTGGATAATGAAGGTCAGGTGGTCTGGAGTGTCACATGACACTTGTTCCTGAGACCTAGCGGCAGCAGTGTATGGTGGAGATGACAGCTGGTGTTGGTTTACGAGGGTAGGCATGGTGTCTGTGGGTGCCTGAGTTTGTAGGCTACCATGTGTATAGGTGTGTGTCAGTGATCTGTCTATCCTCAGACATCCTCCCTCACACATATATCCCTAATATTTTGCCATGTGTGTGATGTGAAGGTACTTGTAGACCAACCCCAGTTAAAAGACAGTATTCACCTGGATAGTCAAAAGTCAGAACTCACCCCAGACAGTCAACAGTCAGTACTCACCCACACAGTCAATAGACAGTACTCACCCAGACAGTTAATAGACAGTTCTCACCCAGACAGTCAACAGAAAGTACTCACCCAGACAGTCAACAGACAGTACTCACCCAGACAGTCAACAGAGAGTCTTCACCCAGACAAACAGTCTTCACTCATATAGTCAACAGACAGTACTCACTCAGAGAGTCACTCAGTACTCATCCAGTGAGTCAACAGACAGTACTCACCCAGGACAGTTAACAGACAGTACTCACCCAGACAGTCCTCACACAGGACAGTCAACAGACAGTACTCACCCCAGACAGTTAACAGACAGTACTCACCCAGGACAGTCTACAGACAGTACTCACCCCGGACAGTTAACAAATAGAACTCACCCTTGTTGCCTTTCACCAGCTCTACCTCCATAACAGTCTCTGAGGGAGTCTTCAAACGCTTCGCGTACTGATATGAAACAACATAAATTTTCTTCAGACTGCATGTCACACCATATTACCCACATACTGCATGCCACCTCCTTTACCCACATACTGCATGCCACCTCCTTTACCCACAAACTGCATGTCACACCTTATTACCCACATACAGCATGTCACACCATACTGCATGTCACCCCATACTATATGTCACACCATATTACCCACACATTGCATGTCACCCCATATGTCACACCATATTACCCACACATTGCATGTCACCCCATACTATATGTCACACCATATTACCCACACATTGCATGTCACCCCATACTATATGTCACACCATATTACCCACACATTGCATGTCACCCCATACTATATGTCACACCATATTACCCACACATTGCATGTCACCCCATATGTCACACCATATTACCCACACATTGCATGTCACCCCATATGTCCCACCATATTACCCACACATTGCATGTCACCCCATATGTCACACCATATTACCCACACATTGCATGTCACCCCATACTATATGTCACACCATATTACCCACACATTGCATGTCACCCCATACTATATGTCACACCATATTACCCACACATTGCATGTCACCCCATTCTATATGTCACACCTTATTACCCACACATTGCATGTCACCCCATACTATAGGTCACACCATATTACCCACATACTGCATGTCACCCCATACTATATGTCACATCATAATACCCACATACTGCATGTTACTCCATATTACCCACATACTACATGTCACATAATATTACCCACATTCTGCATATCATCACATCATATTACTCACATACTGCCTGTCACTCCATATTACCCACATACTGCATGTTACACCATATTACCCCAAAACTACATGTCACACCATATTACCCATATACTGCATGTCACATCATATTACCCACATACTGCATGTTACACCATATTACCCCAAAACTACATGCCACGCCATATTACCCACATACTGCATGTCACTCCATATTAACCCTATACTGCATGTCACTCCATATTACCCACATACATGTCACATCATATTACCCACATACTGCATGTCACTCCATATTAACCCTATACTGCATGTCACTCCATATTACCCACATACATGTCACATCATATTACCAACATACTGCATGTCAAACCATTTTAGACTCACACTGTATGTCTGCATATCAATGGCAAGAAGGTAAATATGACCACAACAGGAAGATGATAAGGAGGTAAATATGACCCCAACAGGAAGGTCAGAAGGTAAATATGACAACAGGAAGATGATAAGAAGGTAAATGACCACAACAGGAAGGCCAAGCGGTAAATATGACCATAACAGGAAGGTCAGGAGGTAAATATGACAACAGGAAGGTCAGGAGGTAAATATGACCACAACAGGAAGTGCAGAAAGTAAATATGACCACAACATGAAGATGATAAGGAGGTAAATATGACCATAACAAGAAGATGATAAGGGGGTAAATATGATCACAACAGGAAGTTTAGGAGGTAAATATGATCACAACAGGAAGATCTGGGGGTAATTTTGATAACAGAAAGGTCATGAGGTTAATATGATCACAACAGGAAGGTCAGGAGGTAAATTTCACAACATGGAGGTCAGGGGGTAAATCTGATAACAACAGAAAGGTCATGAGGTAAATATGACCACAACAGGAAGGCCAGGAGGTAAATATGATCACAACAGGAAGATGATAAGGAGGTAAATATTATCACAACAGGAAAGTCAGGAGGTAAATATGACCACAAAAGGAAGAATACAAGGAGATAAAGATGACCACAACAGGAAGACCAAAAAGTAAATATGACCACAAGAAGATCAGGAGGTAAATATGACCACAACAGGAAAGTCAGGTGGTAAATATGACCACAACGGGAAGACCAAAAAGTAAATATGACCCCAAGACGAAGATCATGATATAAATATGACAGCAAAAAAAAAAAAAAGATCAGGAGGTAAATTTCACAACAGGAAAAAGATCAGGAGGTAAATATGACCACAACAGGAAGGTCAGGAGGTAAATAGGATCACAACAGGAAGATGATAGGGAGGTAAATATGACCACAACGGGAAGACCAAAAAAGATCAGGAGGTAAATTTAACAACAGGAAGAAGATAAGGAGATAAAGATGATCACAACAGAAGGTCAGGAGGTAAATATGATTACAACAGGAAGGTCACGAGGTAAAAATGACCACAACAAGAAGATAAGGAGGCAAATATGATCACAACAGGAACGTCAGGAGGTAAGTATGATAACAGGAAGATAAGGAGGTACATATGATAACAGGAAGATAAGGAGGTACATATGATAACAGGAAGATAAGGAGGTACATATGATAACAGGAAGATAAGGAGGTACATATGATAACAGGAAGATAAGGAGGTACATATGATAACAGGAAGATAAGGAGGTACATATGATAACAGGAAGATAAGGAGATACATATGATAACAGGAAGATAAGGAGGTACATATGATAACAGAAAGGTCAAGAGATCGTACTCACCAAAACAACTTTCCTGCCAGCGTGTTTGAGAGCGTCCACAGCAGCAGCGTGAGTGGTGTTGCTGACATCCACGTTGTTGACTCTCAGGATGATGTCATTCAGTCTGTTGGTGACAACAGTGAAAGGGTGTGAGTGAGTGGTTGAGTGAATGAGTGAATGAATAAGCTGTGTTACTGACATCCACGTTGTTGACTCTCAGGATGATGTCATTCAGTCTGTTGGTGACAACAGTGAGAGGGAGTGAGTGAGTGGTTGAGTGAATGAGTTAATGAGTGAATGAATAAGCTGTGTTACTGACATCCATGTCCATGTATTAGACCAGTTATTCTCATTTCTGATGGCCATGTAATAGATTCATTATTCTCACTTATATTGACCATGTATCAGACCAGTTTTTCTCACTTCTAATGTCCATGTATCAGACCAGTTATTCTCACTTCTAATGTCCATGTATCAGACCAGTTATTCTCACTTCTAATGTCCATGTATCAGACCAGTTATTCTCACTTCTAATGTCCATGTATCAGACCAGTTATTCTCACTTCTAATGTCCGTGTATCAGACCAGTTATTCTCACTTCTAATGTCCATGTATCAGACCAGTTATTCTCACTTCTAATGTCCATGTATCAGACCAGTTATTCTCACTTCTAATGTCCATGTATCAGACCAGTTATTCTCACTTCTAATGTCCATGTATCAGACCAGTTATTCTCACTTCTAATGTCCATGTATCAAACTAGTTATTCTATAGTTATTCTTACTTCTAATGTCTATGTATCACACCAGTTATTCTTACTTCTAATGTCCATGTATTACATCATTTATTCTTACTTCTAATGTCTATGTATCACACCAGGTATTCTTACTTCTAATGTCCATGTATCACACCAGGTATTCTTACTTCTAATGTCCATGTATCACACCAGGTATTCTTACTTCTAATGTCCATGTATCACACCAGTTATTCTCACTTCTAATGTCCATGTATCACACCAGTTATTCTTACTTCTAATGTCCATGTATCACACCAGTTATTCTCACTTCTAATGTCCATGTATCACACCAGTTATTCTCACTTCTAATGTGCATGTATCACACCAGTTATTCCTACTTCTAATGTCCATGTATCACACCAGTTATTCTTACTTCTAATGTCCATGTGTCACACCAGGTATTCTTACTTCTAATGTCCTTGTATCACACCAGTCTTTCTCACTTCTAATGTCCATGTATCACACCAGATATTCTCACACACATCAGTTTGCTCTCTCTCTCTCAAACACAGTCTCCTGAGACTGCCGTCTCACACACATACATACACACATTAAGTCACCTGAGTCTGCCTTCTCTCTCTCACACACACACACATTATCTCACCTGATTCTGTCATCTCACAGACACACACACGCATACATTTAGTCACCTGAGTCTGCTCTCTCTCTCCTCTCCTCTCTCTCTCTCTCTCTCTCTCTCTCTTTTTCTCACCTGAGTCTGCCGTCAGCGGCTGCTGCGCCGCCAGGGATCAGCTTGGTGATGTAGATGCTGGGATCGTCCCCGATGTGTGGGTTGTCGCTGCCGCCGGCGATGCTGAACCCCAGACCACCGTTACCCTGAGGAAATCACCACAAACGATTACTGCACAGGAAGCAATGCACCCCTTCCCATGCCTTCAAAGCTACTGGGCATATAGGGTCCGACCGATCGGCACGCGGTGGGAGACGTGGTCCGCATCAAGCTGGCTGCTTTTACTTTCCAGGACTTTACCTGGTACCCATTTAAGGCTGAATCGACCTGGAAGCCTGGGCCATTTTTTTCTTCCGATCAGCAGGCCAGCGTGTATAGTGACTACATTTCGACAACTCCCACCGCACAGGAAATCATCATCATTAAGTGCCTTGCCAGCTGGCATGTATCTCCAAAAATCTATTGTCTTTGCTCTGGATCGATTATACTGATGATATTCCTCCATGCCACGGTCTTAAGCCATCCAGCATACTTTCTCTTGGTCTGCCTCTGCCTCTTCTACCAGTGGACTTTCCAGTCGTCACAGGAAATGCGAACGGGAAATATGAAAACTCCCTTTTAACGCCGCTGCCAACAACAACAGGATATGTACAGGGGTTGATTAACTGGTTCGATTGTTGGTTTTTAAATTTTCGTCTTTACTCCGAATAACGGTCCCAAATTATGGAGGCTGAAAATATACCCTACCAGGGCCTCAGTCACGTGTAAATTGCAAACTACCACCGCCGAGAGTATCACCCCCGCCGCAGGGCTTAATGAAGGAAATGAAATGACAGGAAGCTGCAGGAGATGTGTTAGCTGCTGCTCGTGAGTCCCAGCCAACTAGTTTAGCCCCGCTTCATGCCGCGCGTAGCAGCGCAGTAGATACTCTTGGCGGTGGCGATCGCCGGCAGAAGACCGCAAGTTCTTCTCGTTCACCGGTTGTAGACTGAAGCGCAAATTTCCAGACTCAAGTTCTCTTCCAGAACATGAGTTCTGCGTTCACATCCGATTTACATATCGGACTCATTTGAATGCAGACTGTTGGTTCCTTGCCGCTCAGGCAGATGCACTCCAACTTTGACAGAAGCCCAGTCTCAGTTGACCCCCTATGACTTGCTTCTTGGATAGGCAGTGGGTCTATTCTTGTTTTTCCCCACAATGAGTCCCCGGATATCACACGGGAATGTAAACATCAAAAGGCTGGCTTCCCCTGGAATCCTTAGCTCAATTATAAAAACTTGCCCAAATCTGGCATGTAGAAATTTCACAGCTGACGTTGGAGTCAACTATTTTGGTGCTCAGATATTTTCCACAGTAAACGCTCTACACCGGAACTAACCACTTTGGGAAATTATATCACTAAGGGAGGCTGTGTGGACTCGACACATGGTGTCCGCCTCGAGTGCTAGAGGTTCCGGGTTTAATCCCCAGTAAAGGCAGGGATTTTTTCAGGTGGACTTCTAGTAATTCCCCCTGGTCTCTAAGTATGGAGATCGGACGCCGTGTGCAATGTTGCGCACTGTCCCGAGACGACCTCAGTGGTTCCAGAAGTTAAGTACTTGTAATAATTTCTTCAGGTTCTAAAGAGACAGAATTATTTTAACTATGCCCTTTACCCAAATATTACTTTAAACCAAATTGATTTAAATGTTTCCAGTCCTTAGTCCAGACAAAGGACTGAGCCTTGTGTAATTATTACCTAACCCTACTGTAGCTAGAGATTCACCAGCAGTGTCATATTATTATCTCCTGCCCACAGACTGTAGAGGCGAGTAACTGGGGAAATAACTTAGTATCATACCTGAGATTATCTTCCCTGAACTGAACCTTAGTGTCATAAATGTTACATAACACAGACTGAGTGGGGTCTTTTGGTCAGAGCAGATCAGGGGAATTAAGTGGTCTGGTAGACAACTCTAGACATTGTGGCGACAAGAGGCTGGAGTTTCACACATGTCAGTGAAATTCTCAGGAAAACAGGTGTTTGCCAATTAAGATGTCCAAACATTGGTAAGGCCGTTCACCTTGAGTGACAGGCCACTTGTTAGCTAATTTGATCTGCAAGATACTTCTGGGGCGTGGCTTAGGTCATCTCCTGGAGGGTTGGGTAGAACCACGTAAAGGGAGGAGTTTAACCTTGCAGACAGATAGATAGGATACTTCGAGCCTCTAGACTTTCATTCACATCGCAGCCGGCTGGCAACAAACACAGATCGACGTAAAGGTAATTTTACGGTCTGATTCTGGTTTGGCGATTGATGGAATGTTCCCAGCGCCCATGTGACGATCAGTCTATGAACAAGACTACATTGTGTTAGACTCGGCCAGCTGGGAATGAGGTGGGAGCGAGGAGGAGAAACAGGCGGACAACCGGCAGGGAAGAAGCTGGAAGAGGAGGAAGAGCTTGACAGTGCTCACGGCTGTCAGAGGTTCTATGATAAACAAGTTATGTTCATACATTGTTCGTACTTTATCATCCTCATCACGCCACTCTAATCCCAGGTGCTGTTTTCTCGCAGAAGCATCTCATCACTATCATAACTTTAGCCAGTCACTGTTTGTGTAAACACAACAAACTGGGAATGTCTTTGAACTGATTGTTAGAAAATAAAGCTGTATGTCAAGTTTTATACTACATCGTTTGTTAAATTCCAAGTGTATTCAGTCTTACCTGTTTAACTAAACTGATAGATAGAATTACATTTGGTGGGGGCTCAAATAATAATGATAATAATTCTTTAATTATTAATAATAATACCGGGAGAAGGTGGGATGGAGGAGTCATTTGCCCTGTCTAATAATTCATTCAGTATAATGATATAGACATCTAAAACTCCTTTCCTTCTCTTGTGGGTACCAAGTGCAGCTAATGTTAAAGTAATTAACGAGCCAATATAGCTGTTTTCTTGGATATCCAGGACTTTGTCTGAGAGCATCATAGCTCGGATATTAGTCAGTTAATCTGGTGGAGGGGATGTGTTGAGAGGAAAATCCCTACTCGACGTATAAAACATTAAATCCACCCACGTCACGTCACACGCACGTTAAAAAAATCCCTTGGCAGTTGGAAATCGAATCCTTTTTTAAGAAGATAAAGACCATGTAGAGGGTCTCCTCGACTTACGACCCAGTTCCGTTCCCACTAACAAACAGGTTGAACTTATCGGGTGTTTTTCAACCAGTGTTGACACTTTTCTTTGACAAAAAGCATCCAAAACAGAGTCAAAAAATTTCTAAAAACATCTTAATTTGTGGGGAAAACATCTAGAAAAAACATCCAAATGGAAAGAGTCACAAATTACATAGCAATTGTCATCATCTTTACTGAAGTCTGCTTTACAAGATTCACACTGCTACACTTGAGGCTGACACCAATTGTGGAGACCACGCAGCTCCCTAAGTGATATAATTTTCCAAAGTGGTTAGTTCCTGCATAGGGTGTTTACCGTGGAAAATATTTGAGCTTGGATGATGAAGTTGAAGCTTCAGATCCAAAATGACTCTGGTATGCTTTAGCTGTTCCAATTTCTTCTAATACCCAATCAGGAAGCTGATAAGTGGAACAGCCTTTTCCTACTCTTATCAGGCCAAATTTTATTGTCAAGATAGCATTTAAGAGATCAAATTTCATCCTGTTTCTTAGGTTAGATTTGATAAATTTTCTACAAATAAAAAACATCTGGAAAAACATCTACCATCTAAACGTCAAAAACGCCATCTAAATGCAAGGAAAAATCTGGATGTAAAACATCTAAAGTGGCAACACTGGTTTCAACATTATTGTCATTAAAGCTGCTGCCCCGGAGAGAGTGCCATACACGGCCAGGCACTGATGTCTAGATCCGACTGTTCTCTAGGATAGTGTTTCCCAAACTGTTCTTAGCCGCGGCGCCTTTTTTTTAATTACAATTTGTCCACGGCGCCCTTACCTAAGTAAAAGTATTAGGTCGCGGCTCCCCGGGGTCCCGCTGCGCACAGTTGAGGAATCACTGCTCTCGGCAACGGTTTCCGAAATTTGTTGACCCTATCAGTGTGATTATCTTTCTGTATTTACTATGTTTAATTACTTATTTGTGTATGGTCGAATCCAGTGTAAGTGCAGACACTTTACAAGTAAGTAAACCCTTACACAGCCAGACTTCCCCGTGTGGGTTCCGGGACCCTATTATAGGGAAAACAAGCGTAGACGCACTGTCTACCCAAAAGCATGTCGTAAGAGTCGACTTATGGAAGCTTCCTTCGAAGTCGGAGTGCATCTGCCTGAGAGGCAATGAACCAATAATCTGCATAGAAATAAGTCAAGATCTGTAAAACACTCAGGTTCTGGAACAGGACCACAGCCCAGAAGTAGATGAACAACCAGAACTTTCCACCAGAGTTTACAGCTGGTGAACGCGACAGAAAGAAAGAAAAAAGAGAAGAAAAGTAGACTTTCTCAGTCTCCTGTGACTAAAATAATTTACACGATCAGTGTGGTAGCATATAGTGTTAGCCTTAAAACTCTACAAGTAACCCCCTAGCATAGCCCGGCTTTCCCGTGTGGGTTCCGGGGCCCTATTATAGGGATAACAAGATCTGACCCACTGCCTACTCAAAAGTATGTCGTAAGAGTCGACTAACTGGGAGCTTCCTTCGTGCAATCTGCCTGATAGGCAATGAACCAATAATATGCATAGAAATAAGTCAGATCTGTAAAACGGAAGCGCATGCAACACTCAGGCTCTGGACAAGACTACAGTCCAAAAGCGGACGAAGAACCAGAACCTTCCACCGGAGTTTACAGCCGGTGAACGCGGGGAAGAGAAAGAAGAAGACAATTAGAATTTTTATTTTTATTTTGGTATGCTGTGACCGAAATGATTTACACGATCAGCTGGATTCACGAGGACAAAAGAGCCACGCGTGACAAGTTCCTTAGCACTTAAAGACCGAAGCAACAAACAACAAAGACCCAATTACACGTAGGCAAATTAAATAATTGTAAAACATAATCTTACGCGTGTGAAGAACTGCTACAGCCGGGCCCTAGAACTCACCAGCAGCAATCTGCAGCGTGTACAGACTGCCAGATGTAGGCCTGCAGTTAACAAACGGCACACCGGCA